TAAGCTGACTTCAACCTCAAGTACCACTATTCCCATCCTGATTTTAGTGAGGCCAAACTGAGGGCAATGGGACTTGCGTAAGGCCACACAGCAGGACAGGCCTGGAACCAGGAGGTTCAAGCCCCAAGCTGTACCTCATCAGCACTAGAACGTGCTGTGTGTGTCACCTTACCTGCAAAGAACGGTCACCGCTACAGGAGGGGCCCTGCTTTCTACTGCCTGGTTCCATCAAGGACGGGATGCGAGGTTTCTGTTGCACACACACACATAGCCTCTACATTTGATATGTATTATCTACAATGTGGGCCTATGTGTGTGCGTGTGAACTTATATTTGTATCAATTTATCTATCTGTACAGAAATAGACAGTCTCTCCTCAGCGGGCGTGAAAAGGAACAAGTCATTTCTTACTGCCAAAACAAATTACATTTTAAGCCGATTCTGTCACTTTGTCCTCCAGTGGCGGTTATGTTTCTTAGACATCGGATAATTGAACGCATCTGTAATGAGTATTGGTCCTATCTGAAATGTTTGTATTTGTCTATGACATACTATTATTTCCGTCCGCGACTCCATAGGTATCGCCCCTTTCTAAAGAGAACACAAAAGCTCCCAGGACAAGGGATGATGTGCCTTGCTATTAAATCTGTGTCTAAATATCCAAAATGCAAGGAGCAAGTGAGATGGTTCGCCACAAACTTAAAAATAATTATTTTGGCCTCAGTTTCAAGGATACTTCTATTTGTCTGGTTTAGGATCCTCTGCATAATTGCCCTAATTCTGCCTTTCACTTGACTTCTGTGGTCTTAGCCCGAACAATATACCTTCATCATTTTGTGTTTTGCAACTTCTCTTGACACTGCAGTGCAGACTCGAGTCTGTCTCTGAAATGCAGCTACGCTATTTGTTATACTTTGGGATCCAGTGTGAATTAAAACCATCCCTGGAAGGTTGTGCATCGAACCAGGAAGGAATGAATAACTTCCATCAGACATCCCTATATTTTATGTCAAGGCTTTGCCATGTCGTCTGAGGGAAAATCCATTTAATGAACCCGGCCCTCAGAATCTAGGAGAGTGGCAGAGGGGTGACGGGCTCCTGTGCAGGACATGGTTTGATACGTGGTGTTGGGCCACAGCTGAAAACATGGCTGGTGTACAGACCTCAGTGGAGCGGGGGGGGGGAAGTGGGGACACCATGCACATCTCCGGTTCATTAGGAGTGATGACAAAGGATCGCAGTGGCGAGCATCACGCTACAATTTCACCTGCTGCTGATGGAGTCACTTCTGAGTTCAGCCGGCTTCCACTGTCTCTATGAAGTTCCTTGCTCTCTGATTCCTGCAGACAGTCCATATTTAGCACACCCAGAAAGGATGAGGCTCAGAATGACCTCACACCCACACCCTCCGGGTTTTACAGAACCAGGGCTTCTGCCCTCTTTCCACTTCGCTGCCATTACTTGCAAACCCCCCTTGTCCTTTTTAATTTTTAATTACCATTGTCTGTTCACCTTTGTTTTACCCATGACATCTTCAATTTAAACAGTATCAGAGAGGTTGATGCGAACAGTTTTCTTTCTGGCTTAAGTGACTGCAGCTCGTTGAGTTGTTAATTATGCAGAGGGTTTGCATGGCTGAGGCTGGTAATTTGAATATGCTCTGATGTCAGGTCTGTGTCTGGGCGGCAGAGCTTGTAAAAGGATTATGATGATGTATATATGGTTCATGGCTAAGTGGGCTAATGAAAGGACCTCATTTAATCAAACACAATTAATTAAATTAACTTATGATATTAACCCATCTTTCTGTGCATGTATAATTTATATTAATTGATTTGCTGCATTCAAATTGACCAATCAGGTGGGTTGCTGACAGCCTAAGGAAGAAGGAGGTGTCATTAGCATTACTTTGATGCAAACCATAATTGATGGGTCAGTGTGTTTTAGGGATGTAGCAAAAGCTTTGCTAATTGTCATAAGAAGTTGAAATTGATTGTGTCTGCATTAGTACATAAATTTAAATTGATTAATGTTTTGTTCTAAAATTAATGTCCATTCTGGATTGGTGATACAATGCTTTATTTATTGGATTCATTAATGCAGTCTAAGGAAAAAATAGTGTTGAAGTTAGGTAACTGAGCAGAGATCATTAAGACGAGTTCAATGGAACCATCTAGAATCACCAGCATTCCCACACATGGCCTGCTCTTTAAAAACCTTTGAGCACAAAGCCCCAAGTGAGACCATCCAGGTCCAGCATTTAATTAAAGCTCTTTTACAGACAATTACGATGGAAAGCACCCTCAACGTGGTGAACAGCGTGGGGCACTGGAGGAGCCAGGGGAACAACTTCTAGAAACGTGATCACTTCCCAGCAGAGGCTTAGATGTTGAACGCCATCGCAGTTTATACCAACCTCTTCTACAAAAAAAGAAAATGCTCTCAAACTTGCTTGAATTGCAATTTATACTTTACAGCCAATTGACAGAGATCATGAAATCTAAAATCACAGACGCTTTATTAGAGCATAGAATTTAAGCCTAGGCTGCATTTTTCATAGATGCTCTTACGTGGTGATTTTTATTCTGAAGATTCTCTAGTAAATGTGATTTGGAACCAAGTGGGTCTATGTCTTTAAAACCAGCATTGAATTTGGTGGACTTTCCTAACCTGGCCTCTGCTAAAGAAGAGCTGCCACAGTCATTTACATTAATAACAGGACTTTGAATTTCAGTTATTCCTAAAAACACAAATGCAGCGAGAACGAAGGGAGAGTAAGAGATCTACTGAAAAATCAGTTTAATTCATTTATAACTCCTTTTTTTCTTCTCAAGGAAAGCTTAACATCTGCTTCTTATAAACTGATTTAAATAGAAAATGTGTAATGCATCCTTTTACCAAATGGCTCTTTTTTTATGGACGGAATAAAGCGGTTTGCCTCTTCTGTTTTCACTACAGTGCATTCAAGCTCTCAGAAATGGGACATCTCTGTTTTCACAAGGAAACATTTTGAACTTCACACGCCAGAGAGAAGATTAGATATCTCTGTTTGCTGCCTTACTGAAGTATGCAAAGTATTATTTACAGACAGCTTCTTGAGTCTAAAACAGTTGAATTATATTCAAATATCACTCCATGTGGTGGCACTCTCGAGTAACAATAGTCGGTTCTGTGAAAGTAACTTCTTTTCAACTTTCGGGTAAGGGATGCCAAAGACTAGTTTTCTATTGTCAGATTTTAAGGACAGCAATTCCAAAAGAAGTCATATCATTCTGAGACAGCAGTGATGAGCTTTGTCATAGCTGCAATCGTATGTTCTGTGCGGGGAAATGAAGTTCTTATTACTTGTTTAAATTATGTTTAGTGCGCCTGCTATATTCCCGAGATTTATACATGCCTAGTATGCAACCACATAAAATATATCTGTATATGTGTCAGCTTGTGAAAAACTCAGGAAAAACTAACTTGGATTTGAATATTCCCACGTTCTGATTTTCTCTTCAAAATGAAAATGAGAAAGAGTTCATCGCTTATTCCATTGGTAATGTACAAATTAAATCTCTTCTATTTCTCACAAAAATGGTTTCTTGAAGACACACAATATAGGAAAAGAGTTATTTGCCCTAATATGGGATTCTTTGTCGATGCTTAACAGAATTGAAACCAACTGGAGATCCTGAAAGCCAGCCAGGAGAGAAGCGGAGGGCGGTGTGGTGTCACGGAGACTAATGATTTAAGAAAATGACCCCACAGATGGCTGTAGTTTTGCAACGTAAAAGTTTGCAGCATAACCACTTAAAATGTTAACCATTTATTAAAATTATTATTGTACTGTTGTTCTTTTGACATTCCTTGAAAGCACACAAGGAGAAAAACCTACCGTAGACATCTTGCACGTCTGCAGGCGGAATTCAAATGAATACCTTGGGATTCATGGTCATGGATTTAAATATTTGCTGGCATGTCTTAAGGTTGGGAAGGTAAGGAAGAGGATGATTTAAAATAATATTGTCTTAATTTCGTAGTTTTGTGAATGGGTCACAGATGTTCTAAGAGAAAATTAACAACATTTTGTTAAAAAAAAAACAAACCTGTAGCTCTATGCAGAATGTGGTGGCAGTTGGAATAATTATTTTCCTAATCAGGTGGTGGTTCGTCCTGCAGCAGAGCAGGGCTCTTTACAGATCACCGCTGCAGGGAGCTGGTGGCGTGGCTGAGGACGGCTGGAGGGGAGGAGAAACAGGGGCTTCTGAACGTGTCGCAGTTCCTTTGTTGGAGGGGATGGGGATCCAGGGTCCTCAGTCAAATGCCGTGATTTAGGTGTAACGTGCTTCCTTCCCACTTCAGAACTGTCCCCGGAACAAGCACTAGCTTTTCGGAGGAAGTGCCTTTCAGACTTATAATTATCAGTTCATTTTCACATCCCTGACCGACATTCTGCGCTTCTGTCTCCAACCCCAGGGAGAACAATGCTGCCAGCAGTAGGTGTCACTGCAGGCAGTAAGAATTATGTTGGAGAGTTGCTACAGAAAAGGAAGTGATTTCCAAAGTCCAAAAAAAGAAATTATCATAAAATACTGACAAAGGAGAATGGGAGTATCCTTTAACACATTGTCTTGAATATTGAGTTATTACAGTTTTATGATCAAGTGGAAATAAAACCACTCTTGAGATCCTTTTCTTGTGGCTTGAAGCCTGATATGCACAAACAGTGCATCCTGCCTGCATCCTGGGGGCAGGAGGGCTCCGCATCCTGCAGGATCAGGCATTCCTGGCATCCACTTTCTCCTTTCTTTCTGAAAGTGTCCAATGTAGTAGGACAAACAAGGGGATCACTTATGGAAGCATAACCTATAATGGAATACTGTCAAATGAAATCGGGCTTTTGGTTAGATATTTTTCAATGCACCCATGGAGCACAGCCGCACAGTAACTTTATTATACATCTACATAAAAACTTTTCAGAAAGAGAGAACACATCTCTTCTAAAGGATGGATATTCCATTATTACATGTTTATTTTTAGGGACACTTTACGAATGTACAAGAAATTAGATGGAGGGAATTATTCATGCCAATTTCATTGTGGGCATATGGGATTACTATCAGATGCTAAAGAAGCACGCTTTCCTCTTGCATATTAGATTCCCAGGTATAGACGATGCTCAGACATTCTAACATAGCCATGTAGATTCTGCTTCACATGAATACATACTTTGCCCATAGATGGTCAATTCTTCTTGGTTTATATTTCTCAGTGCTCTCAGGATAAAGTCTCATTTTATAATTCAGCCCTTTGAATTCAAACAGCCTGACCTTGCTCCTGTCGGGCCTGTGGCTTAGATAAAAGAACGTGCACAGTGAGGCATCATGGCCAGCCGAGCGAGGCCGTCAGGACTTGCTGCTTGAAGGTCACCTGTGCAAGAGGAACTGAGTTTTGTCATAGGTTGATTTGCCTTAAATATATGTACTGTTTATTCAAAAACATTTAAAAATGGATTTATTTTGTCCTCAGTCAGGCAGGCAACACTTTGGCCCATTCTTCCTCATAAACTGAAACTCTGAATTCTGTTGTATTTTCTACCACACCAAAAACAATCAGAGAAGGTCTGACCCCTGACTGACCCCCAGGCAGGTTAACGAGGCGATCCCAGTCAGTTCTACAGGGAAGGGCGATCTTGCATCCAAGGAGGCTGCCGCTGCTGAATTCCACCTGCAGTGAGCACAGACAAGTGTGCCTGCCACTGTTACTCTAAAGTTGCTTTTAGAGTCTGTGTTTTCTGCCAACTCTTGTAAGTACACAAGCAATACACTGAAAAAACACATACTTGTACCTCAAGTATACTTGAATAAATTGATAAGCAAGACAGGTCTACATAAAAATCAGAATTGCACACAAACACATAAATATATGCTACCAGAAAAAAAAAACTGTTGCGCTTTAATCTATCCTATTTTATGCTAAATTAAGCATTTGGCTGCTCTTAAAAACCTTTATTTTTAACTGGAATATTACTTTAAGAAATAGTATGCTACCATACCCCGAGAATATCAATTCCACGCTGAATTTAGAATACCCTGAATGTGAATCAAAAGTCGAAGTTTGCATTTCGTATTCTGACATCAAAGCTCGAAAGTCAGGTGGCTTCTGAGGCACGATTCTACCATCCCTCGGACTGTTGGTCTGGGTGCGCTGCACACACGGTGGGACTGGTTGTAACTGTGTTCTCATCAGCTGGCCTAGTGGGAGGATCTTTATTTCTCAGCTGTGAAGAATGATGCATAAGGACTGTTAAATGTAGGGAAGGGTTTTACTTCCACGTGTTGATAATAATGCTATGATTAATTAGTGTTGCTTAAACAGAGCGGGGATCATTTTTAAATGGCCCTTTAGATTTTTCTCATCAGTGTTAACTATCTAATGTTTGTAAACCCAGAGTCTCAATATGATTTTACGTGTTTCTAATATTTCTAGAAATTGACTTTTTTCAATAATTTGTCAGAAAACAAGCTACTGAATTATAAGAAGCCTGATGGATTTTGAACATAGACACATAGCAAGACGATGCTGCCGATTGTCTTTATAATCAGGACAGTCTCGGGGGCCACTAATGCTTCTCAGAGCCCAGAGAAGGGCAGTTCCTTCTCAGTTTGTGCAGAAGACACCAGGGTGTGAGCTAATATTAACGTAAAAAATTCTGTAAAAGTTTAAAAAATAGTATTTGATTTTAAAAAAACTGAAAACTTGATAAAGCTAGAAATGCCCTCTGCTATTAAATGCAGAAAAAAGCAAACCAGCAAAAAAGATCCTTAGGATAATGGCATTTTTTTATGCCTCCTGCAAAAATGACTATAATTTGTTGGGGGGAAAAATCAATGATAAAGTATATACTTTGAAAAATGACAGCAAAGAATGTTGCCATTTTTCTACTATGAATATTCATTCTGCATTTTGATTAATTTTTTTCTGTTTGTAACATTTACAAATATTAGTAATAATGGGACACGCAAAATTTTACAATGCCGATGGTAGTACGGTACTTCCATATTACTGTATTATAGGCGTACACGCGGCCCCAAAACAAATGGGATTGGCACAAGAATATTTAAACTGTATTTCTAGAGTCTTTGCTATGGAGTTTTGGAATATATTCTCCAACACAGAACTACTGCAACCATTAAGTTATGAAGAACCATGCTGACTTCACTTCTACCAGAATGTTATTTCACTTTGTCCTTGTTCTCATGTATAAATTTTATGAAGAAACCTCATTGTATTTGACGGCAGAATTTCCTTTAAGAATGTAATGCTAAGTATTAATGTTTTCAACTGTTAAAATTGTATTTCTAACACACATAACTATGTCTGTAAATATAATAATCAAAGAGTTCTTCAGTGGCTCCCTAAAGAAAATGCTAAGACAGAAGTCATGTCATCCTTGTGTACATTTTTGTGCAAAGATAAGGATGATATGTTTAGCTGATAATGAAATTTGAAATTCATGCATCAAAATAATTTAAAATCATAAATCTTTATTATCCTACCATAAAAATGTTAACCTTTAAAAATCAAATTTGAACCTCAAAAATTAGTATTGGGGTAAATCTGTATTTATAAACCTTTTGAAAAAAATATGGCATTGGAATTTCCCCAAATCATCAACATTTAGAAATCTGCAGAAAAAATAGAATTTCTTAAACTAACGATTGGTTAGGGTAATACCCAATAAGGTTTGTATTTATTTCCCAGTATCATGGCTAGTGAGCAAAGAAAGAGATTAGCCCCAAGTGTAAAAATTGGTTTTCTGTATAAATTGGCCCCAAAGGGAAATTCTCCAGATCGGTTTCCCGTTACCTGACATGATCCAGTCAAAATCATATTTGTTCCCTTGTCATGTTACTTTAGCAGGGTGAATTGAGTAAAGGGAACAGGTGCCCATGTGTATTGATCAGCAATCATGGCAAAGAGCTCTTATTAGATGTTGAAGGGTACCAGGAAGGCGTGAGAAATGAAGAGCACGTGGGACAGGTTATTGATGATGGCAATAACCGAGCTCGCGGGGCTCCCACACGGAAGCCGACGAGGGGGCCGGATGAGCACATCAGAATAGATATGTTGAAGGAACAGACAACATGAAGAAGTATGGAGCCCAGCTCCTCACCTGGCAGAGTTATTAAAGTTCATTGAAGGAAGATGAACTGTTTCAATATGTTAAACACTCGAGGCTGTTAAGAGAGAGTTGCCGTCATGAGGAACACCACTGTTTGGGGAGCTTTCGTTGTCTGCTTTTTCTTTCTCCTTTTGGAAATTTGAATGTGTTTTCACTCCACAATACCTCTGTATCTTCACTCCCTGAACAGGCTTTGGAAAAGCAGAGAGACACAGCCCCTCTGCATGAACCTGGTTAGCCTCTAATTTCTGAAAGTTGCTGATCAACTTGACAGTCAACAAAGAACTTAGGGTTGGCTGTGTTGAATATGCTTTAAATATTAATTCACTCATCTGTTTGCTGTGACGGCCTCCCCAGCCAGCTTCCTTGCCCACAAAGGCCTGTCGAGGTATCAGGCTGAGCACATGGAGCCTTCCACACTTCGGTCGGCGATGAAGACTCAAAGTTTAACCAACAGAATGTGGAGTCAGAAAATGCAATTTTAAATTACCCTAACATAATTAATTTGGAAGCCACAAAAGTTAAGAAAAATAATTCTACATTTTGCTGGAATCCAGAGAGCACTAAATTAAGAGACAGGCAACTCTCCATATAAATTTTGCTTCAGGGTGAAACTTTCTTCCTCTGCTGAAAGGTCACAGCATGATTCAGTGTTTTTAATCCTACTACAATGTAATGACATTTTAGGGGGTGTTTGCAAATGTGTAGTAAGCTGTCCTATTTGGAACAGCATTTGATTTTAGTGTCTAAATTAGCCCCACCTGCCAAGGCTGGCATTCGTGTTAGGTGAAACCTAGACACAGAGATGAGCAGTAGCGTAAGGGGTCGATGGAATCACTGTGATGGTGCCAGCCAGGCACTAACAGGTGCCAGCTAGGCACTGCAAGGAATTCTCTGTCATATTTGGGTTGTAGTTCCCATCCTGTAATGGGAACCAACTCAACACACCTGCTTGCCTTTGTGGGCCTCCCACATTAAAGAGTTATCTTTCAAGAGTGCTGGTTGCTCAGTAGTTTTCATTCATTTAAAGACTATGCTATTTCTGAAGTTGCAGGTCCCATATTCTAGCATAAAACCTAACATTTCATATACTATTTCTTCTTCCAAATTGGCTTTTAGATTCATTCCATAGTCTCTTCTTGAATACGGGTCTATGGAGTTGTGCATTGTGTGTATCTATGGAGTTGTGTGTTATGTGTCTTCAGTACATGTGTGTTTTGACCAAGTTGGACAAAGCAGCATTCTAATAGACAACAGTACTTGGTGGGTTTCTTATTCCTTTTTCTTGAAAAAAGTGTAAGAAGTTTGAAAAATAACATGAAAATTATGCAATCATTTCTCACAACAGTGGTACCCAGTTTAGACTAGAGATTCCTGAGATCTGTTCACTGTCACTAAGGTAGAACTGGTGTAAGGAGTCTGTTCCACGCGGCCACAACCCCTTATAAATAAACCAATTTAACGCCATTTTCTGTCCTAACAAAAATAAAACGTGTCCCTGCTCAGTGAACCCAAGAGCAGCAACTCTATTTAAACACGTTTATCGCCGGCATCACTTAACCGTCGTATAGACTGGGCCTAAGAAGGGGCTCCACACAGCAGCGTGGAATTGTCTAATTAAAGCGCCAGCCAGGAGAGCCAGGTGGATGAATAGCTGCCATTAGCCGCAGCAATTACCAGGTGGTTAGAGAGCCAGGCACAGGCAGATTGGGTGCAGGCTGAGGCCCACCGACCACCACGTGGCCCAGCAAAATGCTCACAACTGGAGGTCTCTGTGAAATTGATTCCTTCAAGGAAGCGGGCATTCCGATGGCAGGATTCTTTTGTCTCTCAATACAAAAAGCAAGACAATGACAAAAGTAAGGAGTAATTTTGTTTGATTGAACTATTGCTTCTGTGACACAATATTCTTTCCGTAATAGGTGAATGGTGATGACTGGGAAATTCAGTTGCTAATCTACCTCTTCCACAGATGGGGATCATGCATATGCATACTTCCACCCTCAGTGCTTAAGGCAGCAGGCTGCTACAGAATCCATGCTCAACAAACAGGACCTGAGATATTGAACTTGCATGGCAGGCCAGGCCTCCCTGAGGAGCCACTCTGTCATAACGCCCTCTACCACTCTTTATCTGTCAGAACATTTGGCACTGCCAGACATCCTATGTGGGGACTATCGGTATGCCAGCTCATGGTTTGTCTCTCCGGTAGAGGGTGAGCCCCCCCTACTGGAAGGACCTTGTTAGGTTTTCCCATGGTTGGAAACAAAGCAGAGTCTCTAAGACTGCCTGGCACACAGTAGGTGTTCAATGCTCCATAGCTAGATGAAGGAATGAGTCATCTCATCTGCAAAATAAACCTAAGAAATGGTGGGCAATACTGTCCCGGTTTCACTGATGAGAAAACTGAGTGTCCAAGAGGCGAATGTGCTCAACGTCATGTCCCTTCTCTTCTACGTTCTGTTTTTAAAATGAACATTGCCTAATTCTCTATGTCCTAAAATGGTTTGACTCCAACTGAATTCTTTACTTTGAACATGCCTTTTCTTGTTGATTCGTTTGTTGTTTTGTCCCGTAAATATTGTAATATTGACGCTTGAACACATGTGCAACGTTAAACCACTTTAGGAAGTGTGTAATTAAAACCTTGATGCTACAATAGATTAAACATCCTGTTTAAGAGATATAAAGAAATATTAGAACTATTACAGTTCCTTTCCGTTCTGACTCTTTTCCCATCACGCTATCATCCTTCAGGCCTGGAGTGAGCATTTTCTTCATGGCTGAATTGAATTCAAAATCTGCAAAATGGTAATCTCAAAATTTAAGAGAGTCTTGTAAGAATTTCACAATCATACAACAATTCCTTTTTTGCACTAAATTTTGACTAATTTTCTTAGGGATAAAAGGAGAGTAGACTGTCTCTTTACAATGATTTTTTTAAATCTCATACTTTAGGTTTAAAAAAAAAACAAAAGCACTCTGACAAAGCTCCATGTAGCTTGGAGCATTTGTTGCTCATCTCAGTTCATACACACAGAGGCACGTGTGTGTGCACAAAAGCACAAAATTTGTTCTTATGTGTGCTTTTCACT